TGTCAGACTTTAAAGTGATATTAAAGACAATTAAAAAACAAACAAACATGTTATACTTCCCTGCTCTGTGCAATAGTTTTGCACAGAGCAGCCCAAATTGTCCTCTTCTTGGGACCCCACCTGCGCTCCTGGCCCCTCCCTCCTGACAAGTGCCCACAGAGCAAGCAGCTTTCTATGGGGGCACCCAGCAGGCTCACTCCTAAGCTGCTGCTCTGGATGTCCATTCACACACAGAGACTTGGCTCAGCCTTGTCCCCTCCCTCTCATCATTGGCTCACTGTCCAATGGCTCCCGCTGCTGTCTTAGCCAATGAGAAGGGAGCGTCCCCGGAGAGCCGAGGCTTTTGTGCACGTCACTGGATCGTGATGGGGTTCTGGTAAGTATTAGAGGGAGCTGGAGGGGCTGCTGCACACAGGTAGTTTTTTACCTTCATGCATAGAATGCATGAAGGTAAAAAAAAAAAAAACCTTGAGTATTTACAACCACTTTAATTAAACAAACTGAAGTTAGAAGCTAATTGGCAACCATGTACAGTTACACCAGATTTTGCACTCTCCAATTTTAGTAAATTGACCACCATGTATTGTAGTGCACTATGTTAGAAAAATATGGATCATGAATGGGCTTGATTTGAAGTGCAACGCAATGCATTTTAATGTGCATTAATTCATTAATGCACTGCAACACAGGGCTAAAGTGTACATTAACCTTAAACATTTGTAGCACCTGCATTATTTTTATATTATCAAAGTAAATTAAATGCTGTCTTTTTCTGATAGGACTTTCATATGTGACCCTATTTTCATAAGTAATTTAACTGTTGCAGCTATTATAAGTGTTGTTGATAAGTGTAGATGTTAAAGAATGAAAAACTCTGCAAAGAACTTACCATATCTTTCTCTTGCTGTAAACGTTTCAAATGACATAACTATCTTGTATCTTCTATTTTCAATACATATTGTATTAAATGGTAAGTGCAGATCCTTTTTACTTTTGTCCTGCCAGCTGTAAATTAAGTAAACAGGATGGGGCATCTGTCATTAGGTTACATTTTCTAATTCCCTCAATATGACCCGCCGTTTCCTAAAGTTTTCAGACTACAGTTGTTTTGGGGATAAAGAATCTGATCTAGGCTAGAAGTTGCAGGTAGGAGTGAAAATATGACCTCTGTACTGTAGTGGGATAAATGAGCAGCCATCTCCTGTCTACCAAAATGTCCTCCATTGGCAGCCTGGAGTAGCTTCAAACAGCAAAACATCTAACAGTAGAACACAGAACGCAGAATTCCAGGAGGGTCCAATTTGTGAAAGACACCATTATATTCAGACAGGTAGCCCATTCCATTTACTTTGTGGTAGGCTGCAGATTGCTGATTCCAACCTATTTTCGTATTTTGAAAGAAAAGAAGAGAAATAATTGCAATGGAATATATATATATATATATATATATATATATATATATATAGACACACACACACAAACACAGAATATCTGTAATTCCACAGTGTCAAGATACAAAAGCTGCCAGATGCGACAACAAATTGGCTCTCTAAGGTGTGGGTTTCCTGTGTAACTGGTTAAGACATTCTTCCCCTTATTTTGCAGTACTCTGGCACACTGACTACTGTGTTCCTAAGCATGAATGACACAATAACAATTTGCCACAAAAATAAATACGATTGCCCATGTATGTTGGTTGTACTACATTAAACTGATTATGAAACAATGTGCTTTGGCCAGGTTTTACTACATACTTACCTAACTGGTTTTATTCTTTAAAGACTTCGCACAATGCAGGCCTCTAGGCTTCGGTACTACAATGACACGGTGGGGAATATAGGAAAGATGTGTCACTTCTTTTTTTTTTTTTTAATCCTTTATGTATTATTGAGCATGCAGAAGGAGAAGATGGATACACAATTTACAGTAGTGCAGTAGTGCAGTTTCACATAACATCAAAAGGAGAAAATTCAAGGAAGACATCAAGGCAAGAATGTGAGTTTAAAAATGGCCATTGATAATAGTAGGTAACAGTGTGAAATAGTGCACCAGTGTAGTATAACGGACATTGGAATTGCTTATCTCTCTGACTGTAGAACTCTTTAACATTTTGACAGTGGAACGGGGTTGGGATGGGGATAGGAATAAGCCCTGCATGTTGTTATCTAATAGTAAGGAAAAACTGGAAATATTCCCCTGGGACTTTTTATGGTAAAAACCACAATGAGCATGCAGAACATATATAAAATGATAATGTTTATTACAACAAATTAGCATGAGAAAACAAATCAACAGATCCGATATAGTAAATTGTAATACAATGATTCCTATATCACATACAAAACATACACAGTGTGTATAGAGCCTGACAGTCTGTGATACATCAACTTGCAGATGGGCAAACAGCCCAAGAGAACTTGTACAGTAATGTTGTTCAGACAAATCCAACACATTTCGGAACTCTCATTTCCTTCTTCAGGGACTAAATATGTCAGGCCTAAAACATAGTAATATATCAAAGAAATCTGAACAAATGACATGATATTTTAAAAGTATGTAAGAAAAAGCTGATTGCTCAAACACTTACAAATTGCACCATATCAGATAATAAATAACAGGTAGTCATAGAAAATTGAATGAGGATGCTCTCCAGGTGACACATCAAGGAGGTAACAGGCAGAGATGCCCCATAATGCCATCCACCAGCGAGGACCACATGGCAGCAGCCAATGGGGGGGGGGGGGGGGGGGTCTGACAAGTATAATAAAGGCCACATATAAAGGAATCTAATGTTTATTATTGGGCACATAAGAATATATATTAAATGTATAACTCAAACAAACAGGTTGTTGGCATAGGGGTTATTTTGCTAATTTACCATAGTATATGCTTTCATTTAGTCTCTCAGAGACTAAGGCCCCAACACCAGGAGGACTGGGTTATAGACATCCCACTGGCCTATGGAGTAGAGGGGGCCTTTAGCACATACTGTACAGTAGGTAGGCCATCTTCATGCCATTGATTTGTTGCACTGTAAACGGCTCAACATTGTATTGTAATCGTCTGTTTGACCATTCCTTTTTTCAGGGCTTTGCTCCCAGGTATATCAGTGTCACTTGATGCCAGATAAGGGAGGGTCATCACTGGTACTTGGCAGAGAGACCTGAACAATTGAGCAGCTCCTCTAGAGGTAGGGCTGCTCAAATAATGTCTTTATATTATTAGCAATAAACACCGCATTATGACATAATTATCTCTAGTATTGCCTGTAATTGTTACATAGTGGGTACAGGGAAGAATAAATTAAGCATTAAAAATAAGAAAAATTACAGAATGCAAAAAAAAAAGAAACAAAAATATAATTAAACATGTGGAGGCAAGTGAAAGTAATGTAGTTGGAATTGGGATATTTGTGAGGACTTACCAAGATACGATCAACCATATCCATACCATCATAAAATAAGAAGGCAAGCATCTAAATTAGGAAATAAGTAATATTCGATCAAAGGTTCCTATACTTTTAAAAAAAATATGCATGATATCAGTTAGTTGAGTTCTATGAAATAGCAGTGGTTTGTTCAGATGCTGTAATAAAAAAAAACCTTTTCTAATTAAAATTTGCTCTCTGTGTGCAAGGCTCAGTGCCAGATGAGCCTGGCAGTGCTGGGTTGTTTAGAATAAGCTTGTTACCAGTGAAATATAGGAATACATGATCTGTATCCTTCCTTCCAATTAGTAACTCAAGATGTAGTAAATCAAGGATAGGGATAACAGCCCGAAGCTCTTTAACAGGTCAGCAGTGGCAGTTTTCCAGTTTCTCTCTAGGGCTGTTTTTTTCATTAGGCATGGTAGGCTTGTGCCTATAGGCACCACTCTGAAAAGGGCACCCAAAAGCTGGTATGTGTTCCATCATTTTGACAGCCAGGTCCCACTTTATGTGCAACACCTCTACCAATAGGTGGTGTTGCACCGCCTGTTGCCTGTTTACTATAATTCCACCCTCCCTGGTTCAAGGAGCTGTAGTTTTGCTGTTGCCCTGTCTTCTTCTATTCCCAAAGACAAGCATGCATGTTGGCACATACATATAGTCCCATGGCTTTAACTTGCAAGGTTCTGCTGGCACCTGTTATTCCAAAACATTTGTGCCGAAGATTGGTTAACCACCTGCTGTTGATTGAACTAGCTATACATCCTGACTAGCCAGGCCATCTCCCTTTCTTTTTAAGCTGCGCTTATCCCTTCAGGCTTTGCCTAACCAACAGCTATTGTTCTTATGGCCAGGTCTCTCAGTGCCTTTTTATTCCTAAGAAGATGCCTAGTATAGAATATTACTAATAACCCCCAGTGCTTCCTAGTGTACCTGGCTTCCTGACAAGATATCTAGTGGCCCCTAGACTCCCACTGTACTACTTTCTGACTAATTCCTTGTGACCCCAGGATTTCAAGCATTTCTGAAATCAGACCCCCATTGTCTTCAGTGTGTTTTCCTTACCCCATTGTTCTCAGGCCAGTGGCATCCAGCATGTCCCCAGTGACTCCTGCACTTTTTGGCTGCAGCCTGTATCCTTTGGTGTCTTCTGACCATTTCCATGTCCTTGTGCCACTGTGTGCCTTTATCAGCTTTCAGCCAACCTATACATCTGCAATCCCTTGTTAAGCCTAGTACACACGATCAAGAAATTGTACAAAAAATACCACGATAATCTGATTGATAGAGCTTTCGTCCAAAATTATTAGAAGGGACAAGCATGAACATTTTCCTCATTCGATACCAAATCATATGATTTTCGTTTAACTGCTCCCCGACTGCCCTATAGTAGAACTACTGCTACAGGGAGGCAGGGCTGCGCAAAATCACGTGTATATATAGGTGATTTTGCATCTCCGGGTAGGGGGCGCACACGTGTGCCACCCTACCCTCGCCACTAATTGTGGCTACAACTGTCGATCAACGGTCCCGGCCAGAGATTCCCCGCTGGCACCCAGCGATCACTGAGGAACACTGACAGGGGAGAGGTCTGTATGTAAACAATACGGATTTCTCCCGTCAGCACCAGCACGCTGCTTTGTATTACTCTGCATAGCATACCCAGCAGCATGCTTACACATACTTATAGCATGCTTACACAGTAAAACACACACAGGCCACATAGTAAAACAGCACACAGTTAACCCTTTGATCGCCCCAGATGTTAACCCCTTCCTGCCCAGTGTCATTAGTACAGTGTCAGCGCTTTTCATTAGCACTGATCACTGTATTAGTGTCACTGGGGATGTCAGTGGCAGTTTTGTCAGTTCCCCCAGTGTCAGAATGCCCGATATGAGACTAGCATGCAAAAACAACAGACAATCATTCATCCAATATTCTCATCATGTGTATGGGGCTTTAGTTTCAGCCTAACCTTCATTAATATCACCTGTAGTCTTCTTCAGTGTCTCCCTGTGTATTCCCATTTTGTTTCCTGCTCAATGTTCCAGTGCACACAAATCAAAAGCGCTATTGAATTAATTTTTTAATATTCAAAGCAAACTCACCCATCCATCCACGTCTCCAGGCTTTGTCTTGCTAAGAAATCACTTTGAAGAACAACTCCCTAGGATTTCTGGCTGTGGCCATCTTGAGTAAGAACAGATAATTCATGTAGCATTTACTTCCTGAAGTCCATCTGCCTTCATTTATGTAAATTTTTTATCCCAAAAAAAGAAAAAAAACTGTTTGCTGTAACTGTTTTTCAGTGTTAACTGGAATTTGGCTTCAATTTGTTAGTTTATTTAAATCTGCTAATACATCTAACACTCCCCTCCCTACAGACTGATAATGCTGCTGTCTAAAGGTGCCTCCTGTGCTCCTTCATCCAGAGTGGGGGCACTCTAATACAGCACTAATCTGTACATCCAGCCCCAAAGCACAAAATCCTTCTGAAAGTCATAATGCAAAAATTCTCCCCTCCTCCCTCTAATGAACCCCCCTCCTTTCCCAGCACAAATCTTCACTACCCATGTCCTTTGTCTTAGCACAAATCTTCTTTCCCCCAAATTCCCCCTCCCAGCACAAATTGCCCCCCAATCCAAATCTGTCCTCCCAGTACCCCCCAAAAACCTCTCCTATTAACACATGACTTCATCCTCCCCTTCCGAAATATCCCTTTCCAGCACAAAACTTTTTTACTGGAAAAATTCATAAAATTTACTGACAGAACCACATTTTTACATGACACTTAGAAAAGTACATAAAATGGCTGTTTTAAGTGCAAAACAGTGCAAATATTAATATTTAACCACAACGAAAGTCCCTCCCAGCCATCAGTTTGCTTTCATGATTCCAGGTGGACATCATATGATGTCCTCCTGGAAAGAGCTTTGCATGCAGCCGTGTTGCCGCTGCGATCTGTCACCGGCTGTGTCCAGCTGATGACTGCTCAGTGTAACAGCCCGCTGTCGGTACCATGTGATCAATGTTACCAATCACAGCAGATCACATGATAATTGTAAACAATGAATGGCTTAGATCAGCAATGGGCAAACTACGGCCCGCGGACCTTTTAATCCGGCCCGCGGAGCTAGGCTCCTCTCACAGTCCGCCCTGAAGACCGGTGTAGCATGAAAATCTGTCTCCTATGAGGATCTGTCCCCCTCGACGTATCTGCGCATGTGCCGGAGATCGCCGATCGGCTGCTAATGCCTGAAACTGGCACATGCGCAGATACGTCGAGGGGGACAGATCCTCATAGGAGACAGATTTTCATGCTACACCGGAATGGCACGGGAACACGGCGAGAGGAACGCGCGGAGCAAAGGTAAGTGAATTGACACAGGGGGGACTTAATATGGGGAATGAATTACTATAGGGGGGATGAATTACTATATGGGGGATGAATTACTATATGGGGGATGAATTACTATGGGGGATGAATTACTATATGGGGGATTAATTACTATATGGGGGATGAATTACTATATGGGGGATGAATTACTATGGGGGATGAATTACTATATGGGGGATGCATTACTATGGGGGATGAATTACTATGGGGGGATGAATTACTATGGGGGATGAATTACTATATGGGGGATGAATTACTATGGGGGATGAATTACTATATGGGGGATGAATTACTATGGGGGATGAATTACTATGGGGGATGAATTACTATATGGGGGATTAATTACTATAGGGGGGATGAATTACTATATGGGGGATGAATTACTATGGGGGATGAATTAATATATGGGGGATGAATTACTATGGGGGATGAATTACTATGGGGGATGAATTCTATATGGGGGATTAATTACTATGCTTACTATGGGGGAATATTACTATACTTACTATGGATAACACATACACATCATTCATCTACTCTTGGTCCGGCCCCCGGGTCCAATATATGAACCCATTGCGGCCCTCAAGTCAAAAAGTTTGCCCACCCCTGGCTTAGATTCATGCCATTCATTGTTACAATTGTGTTTTCAGCAGTGATTGGTCACATGGATCACAAGATACAGAGAGGACCAATCACAGCCCATCTGTACCATTTGATTAGCTGTGGCCAATCACAGCTAATCACAACAAAGCAAGCTGAATGAGTTGATTCAGGAAAATACTTGCTTATAGCAGTGAATTTGTGTAAAGAAAAATACTGATCACTTCTCCAGAGTAGTACAGTGTTACTATGGTAATACAGTATTGCTCTGGTCACAGCATGTTAAAAAATTATTAATTTATTTTTTCATACTGTCTGTAGTCAATGTCCCTGATCACCGTCATACTAGTTATATGATGATGCTGCACTACACTGGTGACAGCATGTTAAAAACAAATGTGAACATTTTTTTCCTAATTTCTTCATTTTCCAAAAAAAGACAAAAAAATTACAACTTCAAAAAACTTGCCATGCCTCTTACTAAATACCCTTTACTGTCCACTTTCCAAAAAGGGGTAATTTGGGGGCTATATGCACTGTCCTGACATTTTTGGGCCTCAACAAATGAGATGTGAGTACATCAGGATTGTTCGATTTTCAGGTATATACCATAGTTTGTGAACTCAGTTTCCTACAGTCTAAATAATATACACTGAGTTGGGTTATTTTCCCCAAAAAAATGTAGCAGAATACATTTTGGCCTAAATTTATGAAGAACAATTATTCATTTACAAAATTGTATAACATAAATAAAGAAAAACCTCAAAAATGTCAACATTTTCAGAATTTTTTCACTTATTTAGCAACAAATAAAAACCCAGTGGTGATTAAATACCACCAAAAGAAAGATCTGTTTGTGTGAAAAAAATAAAAAAAAATTTAGTTTGGGTACAGTGTTGCATGACCACGCAATTGTCATTCAAAGTGTGAGAGTGCTGAAACCTGGAAATTGTCCTGGGCAGGAAGGGGGTAAAAGTGCCCGGTATTAAAGTGGTTTAAGTACAACGCCACCCAAAAGTGGAAGTTCCACTTGTTTACCTCCCCCCCCCCCTCCAATGACACATTTGGCACTTTTTTTGGGGGAGCTAGTACCTGGTTTTGACAGGTACCCGCTCCCACATCCAGGTCAGATCACCGCAGCAATCTAAGCCGGAAGTTCGGACCCCCCCCCCCCCCTCCGAACCCCCGCAGCCTTTTAGGACACTTCACAGGTCCCAGAAGACTGCAGCCCTTTGACAAAGCACAGCGCACTTCACGCATTCACAGTAAGAAACCGGCTGTAAAACCGCAAGGCTTCACTTCCAGTTTCCCTTATGGAAGATGTTGGTGCCAGCACCAGAAGCCAAGTGGAGAATTGGCTAAGGTGAGGACATCACTGGACCCCTGGGACAGGTAAGTGCCCTTATATTAAAAGTCAGCAGCTACAGTATTTGTTATTGCTGTCTTTTAATTTTTTGGGGGGAGCCCGGAGGTCCGCTTTAAGCTATAAACATATACAGTAGCTAGTACTATTAGCATGGCTTTTTTTCTCAGAGAATAGGTGCTGGAAACTGTCCTTTATGAGTCGCCCCTTATCTCTACTCCCTACCCACCTCTGAGCACCGTCTGTTGGTTCTACCCCCTGTCCATCTCCCAATGAGGCCTCTTTTAGCGAATACAGAATAAAGTATCATTTTTTGGTGCTAAGTAATTTGTATGGAATTATTTCATGATAAGCTGTAAAATTGATTCCAATGTTGCAGCCAGCAACAATACACCCCACTTTCAACAATAGATCTCCCCAGCATCAATAGACTCCATCCAGGAACAATAGACTCCCCGCAATAAATTACCCCCACCAGTAAAAATAGATCCACCACAGCAACAATTGACCTCCCAGCAACAATAGACCAACCAGCACACTTCAACACCCCTTGCCATTACATACATTCAGTGCTGGAGGTGCCGGAACTGCATTTCCACTGAGAAAGAGCCATGGCTATTAGTAATGTGTTTAAGTTGTCAGAAAAGTCAAAAAGCTTATTTCTTAATTTCCATGAGGGCCAGGTTATTATAACCCAGCAGTTTTGTCACCTGCGTCCAGCTGGAGAGATTTCCCTTCACTTTCAGTCCCATAGACAATTAGCCACCAACACAGAAATTGAGGGGAAATCCCAGATAGCCACCAGGGTCAATAGAATAGAGATCCCCTCAATTTTTGTTCTGGATTTAGTGCAATGGTAAACAAGGCAACTGGAGGGTGAATCTCCCCCTCTGCAGCATAGAGACATCATTAAAAACTGGCATAGCAGTTACCAGACAGACAGTGATGCTAATGCATTGTTAAAATAACAATTTGTTAAAGGAGCTTGCTGCAGTTTTCAGCCGGACATGTGACCCTGTATGAGGGTTTCCCCTCACCACCTGTTCCAGTGGAAACTGCTGCAATAGACCACCTTCTGCAGAGTGAATACACTATGGTAAGGGGAACCTTTATATCAGTGCCCCCCCCCCCCTGTACATTACAATTGGAGACAATACATGAGACAGTACAGTAACAATACAATAAAATACACGAGGTGTTCGAGGGCCCTGCTCCTTGGAGCTTACAATCTAGGAGGGAGGGGAGAGTGGTACAGGAGGAAATAGCTGTGGGGGATGGAGTGGTGGGGAGAGTGGAGGAGATCAGCAGTTAGGTTAGGGCGGGGTAGGCTTCTCTGAAGAGATGGGTTTTTAGGGTGCGCCTAAAGGTGAGGAGGGTATGTGACAGTCTGATGGATTGGGGTAGTGAGTTCCAGAGGATGGGGGAATCCCTGGAGAAGTCCTGGAGACGGGCATGGGAGAAGGAGACCAGGGAACTGGAGAGTAGGAGGTCTTGTAAAGAGCGGAGAGTGCGTTTTGGGTGGTAGATGGAT